ATGTTTAGATTCAGCATATCAAAGTACCCTAAAAATTCAATTTTTGTTAAAATCAAACTAAGTTTAATTTTGGACCCTTTTGACCTTAATGTAGACCAATTTGAAAACGGAACCAAAAATTAAATACACGGTTAGATTTGGCATATCAAAGAACCCCAATAATTCAATTTTTGATGAAATCAAACAAAGTTAAATTTTGGACCCTTTGGACCTCAATGTGGACCAATTTAAAAACGGGGCCCAAAATCCAAAAACTTAATACACGGTTAGATTCAGCATATTAAAGAACCCCAAGTATTCAAGAATAAAACCCCATTGAAATTGATCAAGAAATAAGCAATTTATATGAAGTATCTTCTTTTGCACAATACTGTGCAATTGAATATTTCTTGCTATTGTGCAATACTGTACAATTGACAATTTCTTGCTATTGCGCAATATTGTGCTATTGGATATTTCTTGCTATTGCGCAATACTGTGCAATTGAAGATTTCTTGCTATTGCGCAATACTGTGCAATTGAAGATTTCTTGCAATTGTGCAATACTGTGCAATTGAAAATTTCTTGCTATTGCACAATACTTATTATATAATAATTTACACATCCTGTTTGGTGTGTATCTCCTACCATATCATTATTATTTGCTTTTAAATATTAATCAGAAATAACCAACTTAAAATGGAAAATTTTAAAAGAAAAAAAAAAGGAAAAAAAGAGAAAAAAAGAAAAAAAAAGAAAGAAAAAAAAATCCCCCCCCCCAAATTTTTTGAACCCCCTTATGATTCATCACCCCCAAACTCAATCCCAGCATTCCCTTTGTGATATGGTACCTTGCAGTACAATTTCAGAGAGATCCATACACTTGAACACAAGTTATTGTCTGGAAACTAGAAAAATGCGTATTTTTGGCCCCTTTTTGGCCCCCAATTCCTAATCGTTTCGGGCAATTACCCCCAAACTCAATTCCAGCTTTCCCTTTGTGATATGGAACCTTGTAGTACAATTTCAGAAATATCCAAACACTTACACACAAGTTATTGTCATGAAACTAGAAAAATGCTTGTTTTTTGCCCCTTTTTTGGCCCCTAATTCCTAAAATTTTGAGGCAATTACCCCCAAAATCAATTACAGCCTTCCCTTTGTGATATGGAACCTTGTGGTACAATGTCAGAGAGATCCATACACTTACACACAAGTTATTGTCTGGAAGTTACAAAAATGCTTATTTTTGGCCCCTTTTTAGCCCCTAATTCCTTAACTGTTGGTACCATAACCCCCAAAATCAATCCCCACCTTCCTTTCGTGGTATTGAACCTTATGGTAAAATTTCATGGAGATCCATTCACTTAAACTAAAGTTAGAGTGCGAAAACCAATGTGTCTTCGGACGACGCCGGACGACGCCAGACGACGACGACGACGACGACGACGACGACGACGACGACGACGACGCCAACGTCATACCAATATACGACCAAAAAATTTTCAATTTTTGCGGTCGTATAAAAATCAATATCTTGATTTGGAATATAATAATTTCTGTTTTGATTCATATTTTGAGTTGTTTTCTGAAGATACAATCCGTAATTCTAGAATATACGATTTTTTTGTACAACGAATTAAGCGCCTGTATAGGAAAGTTTCATTTAAGAACCTTTTTGTGACGAAGTTGAGGGTATTTCTGCGATGTTATAACCATGATTGTTCAAATATGGTTGACGCAGTTGGGCAGTGCTTAAGCACTTTTGTTTAGAGAAACAAATATTCTATGTTATTTAGAATCCAAACCCTTTTTAGCACATTTAATAAGGCATACGTGATGCTAAGCCATAATAATGGTGCACGTTGTTGGGTAGTGTTAATCACGGTTGTTATGGTAACAATTTTTCTATGGAAAAGATAACCAACCCTTATTGTGGTATTTTAAAGAATGACAGAATTATCTTCAGAAAATAGCGCATAATTGATAAAAATTGATATAACTGCTTTGTTTACACTTAGGGTTTTAAGTCTTAAAAGAATTTCACGGTAAATGAAATATAGGATTATATATTTTTTGAATGAAGATTTGAAAATCATGTATAATCAATAATGTGTAAATGAAATGCATGACTAGAATAAAAAAAAAGAGATCAACAATAAGGGGTTTAAAATAAAAATGTTTTTATAATAAAACATTGGTAAGGTTAATAAACACGGATTGGAATATCAATAAACTAATTAATGTAGGACTTTAAATATATGGAAATAAGTATCATTAATCGTTATAGACAATAACGCGATACATCTTCCGGCGAATATACTATTTATTGGTGAAAAAATTAAATAAGCAAGCAAAAAAAAAACGAAAAAGAGGGTCATAAGGTCATCTATAACTTCCGGTTTAAGTGAGATGACAAATGATAATAGTTCTGATGGGTATAATTCAGAAAGTAGTCAAAATATGTCTTTTGATGAAATTAGAATACCTAAGAAAAATAAACGAAAAATCAATCAGTCTGAAAAGAAAGACCAATTAATGTTAAACTTTCTCTCAAATATTTCTTGTTATCTTAACAAGTCTTTACACGACTAACAAGACGTAAACGTAGGCTTCGTTATAATTAGCTTGTTTATGAATAAATATATGTGTATATGAAATAATTTACTTTTGTTTTAATTAATCATATTCATTCTAATTGTCGCTTCAGATGGATCGCTGAAATATTATTGATTGTTTAGAATTACTATTAATATCAGTAATCTCTGAATCACAGCTTTGTTTATGAAAAAAGAAGGAAAGTATTGGTTGAATCTCAAACCTTATTAAAACCATTTTCAGTCCTTCCTAGAGAAAAGTATATCTTATGAGTTGGTTTTTTTTTCATACAATTTCAGAGTTTTTGTTCTAATTTAAACTAGAGAAAAATATTAATAATTTCATTTACCAAATTAAAGCAGTAAGAACTTGTTGAGGACGACTTAGAGCTATCAAATTTAGTAAATGCATTAATTTATTTTGTTGCTATCTTTATAGGCATTTTATATTTATTTTGCAATTATAGTCAAAAATTTAAGTGTAGGTGTTTAGCCAAGCGAGGAAGTAATAGAGAGGTTCAGATAGTCACTAGATATCTTGGTGGCGATAAAGTGGTGTCAACTAATGTTGAGGGCGATGGTACTGCCTCCAGAGATGGTAAACTAGCTTCTGCACCACTACTAGAAACAGTCACTAAGAACCATTATCCAGTACTCAACTTGTCAAACAATGAGAAGTAACAATCGAGTAAACTAACCACAAGAATGACGATTGGACAATAACACTGGATATTGGATTTGATTATTTGACACAACGTAGACGATAAGATGTACATAAAACTATACGATCACATAACTTTATATTGGTAAAGGGAATCGTTCTACAACATCACATGTAGGTTTGCCTGATTTGTTCCAGCCGGTGATAACTGAGCAACCTAGTCAGGGACCCTGAATCAACAGGCTAGGTAAGCTAGGTCAGTTAGGAGTAATATCAACGACAGATGGTGGATCAAATGGAGGTCGGAGTAAAATCAACGACAGATGGTGGATCACATGGAGGTCGGAGTTATCGACGACAGTCAGAGTAGTTGCGCATGGAGGTCGGAGTTATCGACGAAAGTCGGAGTAGTTGCAGTACTTCTGAATGACGGGGATGGGCGTTGCAGACAAACAAATGGATTGTTGGAGTTGACAACGACGTTCGGAGGAGCAGTCCACCGGAGTCGGGGTTATGACGACGGTCCGCAGTTAATGGTTGGGCCTTTTTCTTGTATTACGAAGTTCCAATCTTTGATGTTACGAAGTGTGTAATGATAGAACTTTTACAGCTGAGTTATCATGTTCCACTCAAGAACAGTATGAACTATGCATTGCTGGACATTTAGATGGTGTTGAACTGTAGAAATAATTTTGTTTATGAATGGTTTTTTTTCATGCAAGCATTCATATTGTCACCGATTTAAACTTAAATATAAAATTACATTTCTTAAGAAAGGAAGGAATGTGACAATATGATGGGCTTAAAAATATATTTATATATTTATATATTTATATATTCTTAAAAAAAAAATATGTTTATTGAATTGAATAAAATAAAACGGGGAAATATCTATCAAGAAAATCATACAAGTAACCTTGAGAAAGGTTGTTTTAATTTACAGTTAAAATTACATGCAACTACAAGTACATGTTTACATGTAGGCCATATGGTGACATGTTGTAATAACAATTAATTAATGAACTGCACATACGCAAGTTCTACAACTATCAATTGTCCAGCTTGGTCAAAACATGTAAATTAAAGTCAGCTTGCTATATATTTATCTGTGTATCTTTAGAATAAAAACTATTATTGTCAAACAAATAGAAATTTTGATAAACTGTTATATTCAATTGAAAATGTATATAAACTTATTATTGTACCGTTATGGACACACCGTCCGTTATGGACACCGTCCGTTATGGACACGGTCCGTTATGGACACACCGTTCTAGACCGGCCGAATAAACGGGTAACAAACTATCTTGTCTTGTTATATACAATCATCACGAAGAATTAAATAGCAAGTTTATCACTATCAGGTCCCATCGGCAAGGAAGTTTTATCACAAATCCCATTTGTAAAAAGAACGTATTCTTTGAGACGTTTATATAAACAGTTGCAACCAAAAACATAGGTCACCTCTCTGATCTCACGTTTACTCTTTTTGGTTATTCGTTGAGTTCATTTATGTCAATCATGAAAATGTTTTTATATTCTTACATATTAGCAAATTTCATACTATGACTGATTTATTCACTTAGGGTTACATGATTTTTTGTATAAAAGTTAACATTATCTCTACCGGGATTACCGTGAATTACATATTGAAGGGAGCAGCATCGCTGTTGTCATGTCTGCATGCTTTCATATTTTATTCTATTATTGTTTGTATACCATAATTTTAAAGTATTTTACAACAATAATAATCTTTTAAATACCTCTGAAATGCTAACATAATCGGGTTGTATTCGTATAGACTGTGACCTAATTATTACTTGTCAATTCAGTGTAAATACATTCTACTTACAACTCACCTGGATCACTCTGACTTATCCGTTATTCGTCGATCTATAATTTAAAATAAGCTTATATGAAGTAATACATAATATGATCTTTCTAATAGTTTCCTCTTACGAAAAAAACCCCAAAAACTAACAAAAAGAGAAAATAATTAGTTAATTCAAAATATTTCCTAAAGAAGAAATTCGTAAATCGAATTTTTTAGTTCTGTGTTAAGAGACGTCGCAAAATACTGGTATCACTTACCGTAACACGCTTACGCCGTTTTATTTTTAGTAACGTTAAGAACAGATTTTCTGCAGAACATGGGTTTAACGTTTCTTTCTCTTAAATACAGTAATTGGATAATATTTGAATTATGATGTGTTTTTTTACAGGCTTTTTGGTTATGATCTACATGTTATCATTGTGACTTTCTGAAGTGTCTAAACGTTATGATTCTGGTAAAAACATGTCATGGTTTGCTTTAATTTTGGAACAGATAAAAGCAACAGATGCAGCAGGAATAATGACCGTTTTACTTGTTACAAGTTTGCATTTAAGGCAAACTCGTCAGTAAACACGGGAACTAAAGAACCGACGGACACTTGGGATTTCAACGATGGAGCTGCTACTTCTATTTTTTCATCTTCCGGATCAGCTTCATTGCTTACCGGTCTTCCCATCGTGTGAATACGAATTATACAAACTTTGAATTGATTTCAGCATATTCCGCGGTTGTTTCGACACAAACATCACATGTAAAACATGAAAATGGTCTTACAAGTGGAGTCATTGTTTTAATTTTCATGAACTTAGGAAGTTTTTTGTAAGTCATTTATTTGTATAAACACCAGTGCGTTATGTATATTCACGTATCTCGATGTTCAAAACGTTAAAAAAAGAGCCCGGGGGACATTGGATCGGACACAACTGCATATATATATTTTTTTTATTCTGTAGCGCACTATCAACATACATCTTCCAATATGTACTTGAGTATTGTACTTTTTAAATTTTGTGCAAATTTGAATCATAAATCTTGTTGAATGCAAGTTTTCTGACAATGAGAATACACATGTAATGCATCAACGTTCATTTGAGCTCGCTTGACTCTGAGTGCCTGACTGTACGGGATGCTCTTAGTACAATGAGCAGGATGGCAACTTTTAGGGGACAGATATTGGTGATTGTCAGTAGGCTTTCAACTTTAACCGCATGAAGATTCTAGTGATTGAACAGAACATTCACTGGCGTGATGCCCAGCGACAGGTTCGGGAAAGCTTTTTGATAAAGGAACTAAATGTACATCATCCAAACGGCATCAATAAAAAATACTAAGTTTTATTTTGCACTCATTTGGGGATGTAAATATACACAGTCACGTATATTTGAGTATTGAGTTTTGTTTTATATTATGATGTTCAGGATTTTGGATTAAATCAATAGACCAAAACTTACCTGTATTACTGAGCTATTTTTATACATATAATCAGTATTGTCACTGAAGAAGGCTATTTGTTAAGCCGAAATATTTGTCAACACGATTTAATAATAACATCTTCGTATAATACCATCTTATATAAGTATCGTTGTGCAAATCTCTTGACTTATATAATTTTTTCCTTATCTGCACAGTATCGTCTATTCTAGACGATCCGGTACATAGCAAAATTTGCTGGCTGGTCCTTTTTATAGACTTCTATATATATATATATATATATATATATACAAGTCTAAATTGAAAACAACGTTCAAACCTATGATTGCGTTGGATAAAAACCGCAATTTTTATACGTGTGCATGCAAAACAAATTTCTTGGTAGAGGGGTCTAAATACAGCACAAACAACATTTTCCAAAAGACCAAATGAGTGAAAAAGTATATCTTAAACCCTGCTGACTGCCATTGGCGATTGCCAAATAAACGGATCATAAGTTGTATCAAAATAGATCTTATTATTAATTTATTACCAAACAGAAAACAATAAACTTGCGGAAAAGATGGTATACCGCAAACATGAGGTGCAAAAATTTGTACACCATATCCGGATTTCGAAAATTAATGTCTCTTCAGTGATGTTAGGAATCGAAACGGTATTTGGAAGGCCATATAATTTACCTCAATTTAGGATAGACTCTTGAATTTTGAAAGAGTCAAAATAGGATGAACGGATCATATAAACCCGAAGGCAAATATAATACAAGCCGAAACGAAAAAATATAAACAAGCTTAAATTGAAAACAACGTTCAAACCTATGATTGCGTTGGATAAAAACAGCAATTTTTATACGTGTGCATGCAAAACAAATTTAAGTCTAAATTGAAAACAACGTTCAAACCTATGATTACGTTGGATAAAAACCGCAATTTTTATACATGTGCATGCAAAACAAATTTCTTGGTAGAGGGGTCTAAATACAGCACAAACAACATTTTCAAAAAGACCAAAAAAGTGAAAAAGTATATTGTAACAAAACGCATTTGACTAGCAGGTCGAACAATGGATGTTCTTAAACCCTGCTGACTGCCATTGGCGATTGCCAAATAAACGGATCACCAGATGTAACAAAATGGATCTTAACTATTAATTTAATACCAAACAGAAAACAATAAACTTGCGGAAAAGATGGTATACCGCAAACAAAAGGTGCAAAAATTAGTACACCATATCCGGATTTCGACACTTAATGTCTCTTCAGTGATGTTAGAAATCGAACATATATATATATATATATAATAAGCACAGTGATCTAAAACTTTTACGAAATAAAACGGTATCTCGCATTTAAAAGTGTGCTTAAAGCATTTCAAAAATGAATTCTTAAAAAAAAAAAAAAATTAAAACCTCCTGTATTCGTGAGAACATAAGCACAGTGGTCTAAAACTTTTGCAAAATACAACGGTATCTCGCACTAAAAAGTTCGCTTAAAGCGTTTCAAGTACCAATTCTTAAAAGGGAAAAAAATAGTTTGGTAACGAAATAGATACATGTCAAGCATTTTGTAATTTCTTTTATTGAATTTAACATTAAAGAATAATTTAATCATTATATTATAATATCATCAATAGCACAACTACATACATGTATACTTTATTGTCATGTTAATCATAAAGATTTATAATAAAATTAACATAAACAGAGAGAAAAAACACGGTAAACAGATCCTTTAACAGTAAGATGACAAAGCAAATCCATTTCTATACAAATGAATGTAAACAATCGGGTCTTATGTCTATTTAATCAAGGACCCCTGCTTTTGACTTCTGTTGGGTTTGATGGGCAGTGAAGATATCTAATTTTCTCATTTTCTTGAAAAGTACTATATTCTGGTATAACTTTTAATACTTTTTTTTTTACAAAAAGTAATTTTAGAGGATAAAATAAAAAGAGTTTCAGCCCCACTGTAGGATGAACATAGTCGGTTTTCTCGAGGAATTTTTAAAAAGCCTTCCTGTTTCTATACAATATTATTAATGAAATAATTGTAAAGATACAATTTGCTACAGTTAAACATTTTTGTTCATGCCTAATAATAATTCTCCTACCGGTATATTTATATTTTTTATAGAAATTTAAAACTTGTTTTTTTATTCTCTTTTTACCTACTTTTTGTAATGTTTACCGCTGTGGCACTCTAGATTGTTTAATTCTATATTTTAAATTACCTCTTCTAAAATATTTTTACCTTGTTAGTCCAAACTTGTTAATAGTGAAACATTCATATCGATTAATTACGGAATTTATCTGTTTGCATTTCGGATGGATATCTCCCCAACTCTGTTGTTACTGCTCTGTTTTAGTGAGGTGTTTGTTATTCCAAGAATACATTTACAGAAGAACAAAATTATTGTTATATTTATTCGTAAAGTACTGCGGTCTATATTTTTCATTGATATTTTTGTGCCTACTTCTCTGCTGCATATTATGTTGAAACATATGCAAGTTCCTAAGTGAATTCTGAATTATATCATACGTTGTACATTCTATGGAACCGGAAAACTTAGTTTAAAATTAACTTAAAAACAACGTTTCTGCAAATGATAAATTTATGTAATAAGCCTTTCTATCAGTAAACACCGAAAGATAAACGAAAAGAAAGACTTCAACAATATAATTAACTTGTCAAGCAGTTTTGAGTGAGGAAGCTTCTTAGTTAAATCATCTTATTTACTCAAATAATGTCTGCTTTTATCAATGATCGTCAATCCTCCGCTTGTTTTTCTCGTGATTATAAAATTAGCTGTTCATGGTGTACCTTTTAGAACTTCTCTTTGGTGTTTATTGAGGTAGTCTATAAATTCATTCACTACAATCAGTGTTTTTGTAATTGGTTCAATCCTTATTTTTGCAAGTCAAGTGATTTGTATTTTAATGAATTTCTATTTCCTTTTATAATTATCTCCTGCCTGTCTGTATTATCACACTAAGGTTCCTTTTCGTTCGGTAAACATGGTATGTTCATCTTCATTAACATTTGTATGTATTGTCAAATCAGGAAGTGACGTCTTATTGTAATATTCATACGCTGCATTACACTTCCCATTAGATATGTAATCTTTAAGAAGTGTGACGTAATCACCGTCTGGGTCAACTAACGGAGCGAGAGAACAGAGTCTACAATTACATTTTAAAATAGCGTTCGTATCTTTGTTAAAATTTACATATAGACATGTGGGTTGTTGTGGGGGTTCCCATACAGAGTTATCCCAAACTGGTTGTTTGTTGTTGTCAGTTTACAGAAATGGCATGGAGACTGAGTTGTGGCGCTTCGAGTGGTATCTTCCACGCTCAGGTAGTCCGATACTTCCATTGGATTAACGGGTTTAGGATGGATTATTTGTATTCTATCTCTCTGTTTCTTGTATTTGTTTAGCACACGTTCAACTGGGCTTTCGTCCCTTTTTTGGAGTGAAACCTGTACAGGCTGAAATACAATAAGTTTGTTCTCAATATTTTAGGAATATTTAATAATAAAATTGAGTATTTTAA